TATATATATTTATATATATATATATATATATAAGTAAAAATATGTGAATAATTCAGACCACAATGCATTTATATTTGGTGTAGATATCACTGGTCCTTTTCTTGAGCTCTACAGGACCGATGTGATTCATCATGAGCTGCTACTCGGGTTAATTGTTCCATGTGTTTGTATAAACTTTACATTTCTCATTTATAAACTTCTATAAAAGATGGAGTCTGTAGCGGAGTCACTCGGTGAGGAGCAGGAAGTCAGGAATGGAGAGACTTTAAAGGAGGAAGAGGAGGATGACAAAGAGGAACCTCAACATGTTTCAGCTCCTGAAGAGCTTCTGTGAGTCTTCTTATAAATAAACACACTGAAGGAGGCCAGGAGGCACTCCAGGGCTCAAATTCTAAATAGTCTTTTTAAATTGCAAGGTCTTCAGTTTTCTGAAGACGTTGCAGACTTTCCCGCTCTGGGGAAGAAGCTGTTCCTCAGCCTGTTGGTCCGGGTTGTGATGGTCCTGTATCTCCTTCCTGATGGCAGTGGAACAAACGGAGAGTGACCCGGGTGTGTGATGTCTGTGCCTTCTTCTGGAGGCGGCCAGCATACACAGTGTCCAGGTCAGGCAGGGTAACTCCCACAATCCTCTGTGCTGTTCTAACCACCCGGGCCAGGTCCCTCCGGTTCTCTGCTGTGCAGCTGGCGTACCACACAGTAAAGCACTGACACAGGATGCTTTCAATCACGCTTCTGTAGAAGTTAACCAGAAGTGCAGGGGGCAGGCCAGCTTGTTTTAGCTTCCTCAGGAAGAAGAGCCTCTGCTGGGCTTTCTTCACCAGGTGGGATGTGTTCAGGGACCAAGTGAGGTCTTTAGTGATGTGGAGCCCCAGGAATGTGATGCTGTCCACCCTCTCCACCTCCTCCCCACTTATGTAGAGTTGAGAGGGTGTGGTCTTCCTGGATCTCCTGAAGTCCACTATGACTTCTTTGGTCTTGGTGTTCAGGACCAGGTCGTTGTCCAAGCACCACTCAGCCAGATGTTGGACCTCCTGTCTGTAGTGCGTCTCGTCGTTGTTGGAGATGAGTCCCACCACAGTGGTGTCGTCAGCAAACTTCATTATTGTGTTGGAGGAATAGGAGGGGGAGCAGTCCTGGGTGAAGAGGGTGAAGAGGGCCGGGCTGAGCACACAGCCCTGCGGTGCACCAGTGTTCAGGATGGTGGTTGTCGATGTCAGGTTCCCTATCCTGACATTCTGTGGTCTGTTTGTTCATGGATTCTGGACTTTCTCTCAGAGTGATGTAGAGAGTCCAAGGTGTTTGAGTTTATGCACCAGTTTATGTGGGAGGATGGTGTTGAAGGCAGAGCTGAAGTCAACCAAGAGCATCCTGACGTATGTGTTAGGGTGCTCCAGGTGAGACAGGGCCGTAACCGTCCGTCCGTCTGTCCGTCCGTCCGTCCGTCCATCCATCCATCCATCTACTCTAATGTCTGCACCTGTCGTCCTCTCTACAGCCTGAAGTTGAACTCTACAGACCGGTTGTATCCTGAGTCCTACAGGATCAACTCCCCCGATGAGAGTCGACTGTTGGACATCGCCGACAACTTACAGCGTCAGTATTCACATTTGCATCCCAACCGCAAACCTCTGCTGCTCTGCCCGACCAACGAATGTGGTGTTAAGGTAACGCCAACAATCCAACTCTACTGCAAGAGAAATGTACAGAAGCTGAGAAACAAGTTAGAAAAACTGTTCTTTTGATCCATTTTTCTAAGTCTGATCTTAATTATTTTATCTCTCATGTTTATGATTTAAGAACACGGGAAAAAAAGTTCTGCCTGGATTCATTTTCTAAGTTACTTTGTTCGATGAAAACAGGGGAATTTATTAAAATTCTATGTTTTGTTTAGGAACCTTTTTTTCTGTCAGGATAAAGTATTTGTTGTTGTAATACACACGTTTGGCCACAAGAGGGTGAAGTGCACCACTTCCTGATGTTTTAAACAGAAGTCAAAGCTTCATGTTTTATTTCATCCATCCTCTCTAAACATTAGGTACATGCATTGTGTGGTAGCAAGTTATCTACATAACAACTGTAGACCTGTGGCTAAAAAAAAATGATTACAACAACAACACAATAACCCTGACCAAATATTAAAGAAATGTCACCAGTCACAGATGAAATAATGATCCTGGCCAAACCTTTCTTCACCTGTTCTTCAGTCCTTCACACAGGAGAGAATATACAACTAAGATATCTTTTACAAAGTGAATCAACAGCATCTATTTTCCTCACTTCCTCTCAAGGCTTCCGTCTTTAAAACAGTCCACGTGCACTTTGTCTAACTTACCGTGTGTGTGTTTCTAATACTCAGAAGTTTGTGTCCACGACTCTTCGGCCCACGACCACAGAACACCCCGAACTCTTCAGCTGGCCGGGCTGTGCCTCCTTTGTGGCTGACTTCCTGTCTCTGGAGCCGTTGGAGCCGCCGGTGAACCTGGTGAGAAACATTAAACACTAATACAGACATAGAAAACAAATCCACTCAGTTCATTAACGTCCTCCTAGGTTTGTTTGTTTGGCCGTCTGCTCAGTGGCTTCATCACATTACGCTGGAGTACTCGTATAGTGTTGGTGTTAACGTCATTATTACAACGAAGAAACTTTACAAACGCTCTTACACACATGCAGCCAACACGCCCTGAAGTATAAGCAACCAGATATGGTAATTAAATGCCATTGTACTGGATATAGTGATATACTGACGCCAAAGTATCACAATACATACATCAAATCAGTCAATTGACAGAAAAATGTAAAAAACTCTTTAGAAGAAAATATGTTTTGTATAGTGGAGACCTGGAACACACACACACACACACACTCTTATACACAAAGTCAAGGTGTGTGTGTGTGTGTGTGTGTGTGTGTGTGTGTGTGTGTGTGTGTGTTGCTGTCCCAGCCCAGCTTCCTGTTGTCCTCCAGCTTGGTGCTGCAGAGTCAGAGAGCCACGTGTCTCGACTTCTCCACGCTGCTCTGCAGCCTGCTGCTCGGCGCCAACTACGACGCCTACTGCGTCAGCGGCTACGCCGTCAGAGAGATGTGTCTGCTGGACCAAAGCCGGCTGCACTGCCCCCTGCTGGACACCCAGGTCAAGGTAGGTGTGTGCATTACGTCATGGTCACCGTACACGTAATACATGTATACAGTGTTCGGGTTTGTGCTTTGTGTGTTTGTACGTGCAGAGTGAGATCCACGAGCAGGAGCCTCACGAGAATAAATACTCAGTGAAACCTCCGAAGGAGCTGAAGAGTCAATTTTTGATGCAGCAAGAGGAGAAGAAGCAGGACGAGGAGGCCGCGTTGCTCCAGAAGCAAAAACTACAGGAGGTAACATGATCTATATATCCTGATATAATATATATAAAATATATATATAATATACTGTATATATATAATTTATTATAATAATACAAAATAATACAATCATAATTTTAATTTAATATATATTTTATATATTAAAAACATATAATTCAAATTGCTTAAGTACTATTGTCCCTCTGTTCCCATCCAGAGACACAAAGACGAAGTGAACGTTCACCGTTAATCATCACAACTTAAACACAGCTGAAGGTTTGAAATGAAACTCGTCCTTCCTTCACCAACAGGAGAGCGAGCAGCGACCCGCTGACCCCCTGCATGGTCTGCGGGTGCACTGTTGGGTTCTGGTGCTGTCGGGGAGCCGGAGCATCCAGGAGAACTTCTTCATCGACCCGCTGACCGGGAACCGCTACGCCACCAACGACGACCACTTCCTGGGAGTCGAGAGCACCTGGAACAACTTCAACTACTACGTCAACATGCAGGACTGCAGGAACGGCTGCGCTGTGAGTCCACGACCGTATAGTATAATGCATAAATACATATACATGTGCGTGTATATATATATATATATATATATATATATATATGTACCACTATACATATATATACATTCATACTATATATGTGTGTGTGTGTGTGTGTGTGTGTGTGTGTGTGTGTGTGTAGGATATGGTCTACGACCTGGAGGATCTGAAGACGTGGGAGCCGGTCCTGTACGGAGGAACCAGCAAGAAACAGCTGATGCTTGATGTCTTGAAGAAAAAAAAGACAATGAGCAAAGTCATCAACGATCAGGAGGAGGTGTGTGTGTGTGTGTGTGTGTGTGTGTGTGTGTGTGTGTGTGTGTGTTTATAGCCTTATGTAACAGTGCTGTTAGTGAATATTTAGACTTAAGATGAGACACTAAAGACAGAGTTCTTCATTCTCTGGTCAATTCAGAGATGTTGTTCTATTTTTCTTCCATAACTCGTCTTCTTTCAGACTCGAGGAAAGAAAACATTTATTTTACTTCTTTGTCTGTTTGTAGATTTCTCCTAAATTCGCCGAAAGTTACCATTAGATAATGCCTCATTTGCATATTTAAACATAACATTTGAGAAATTGTTGTATAAAAAAGAATCCTCCTAATGTCAGTAATGAACTGGTGAAGTTTCATGTTGATATCTATGAGTTATTTTTGAGTGAAAACATGATTTCACCGTTATAAACCCAACTGTTGTTGTTTGTTTTGAAGGAGGAGAAGCTCCGTGTTTTTGAGATGCCACGATCCTGGGTCAGTTACATCAACATCTCAAAGGAAGGTACAGCAACCTGATCACTGAACATCTGCAGCTCGTGTTTACATGTCGCTACATCTGGAAAGATGGAGAACATTAAAGCATCGAGACAGAAAACTTAAACACCAGAATGAGTATTATTCATATAAAAAGTTGCTTAAATAAAAAGATCCTAACGCTTGTTTTACACTAATGCCTTCTTTAACAAACCAAACACACGTCCTCTCTTTCCCTTCTTCAGCCCTGGAGAGCCGCTGGCCGGGCCGACAGAACGAGACCCACTACAGGAGAGCAAAGCTGCAGCAGTTTGCTCCGTACCTGAAGTCAGACGGCCTGGTTCAGAGACTGACCGCATACCAAGACCTGGACTGTGAGTGTGTAGCCAAGAGACAGACACTTAAGGACAAAAATGTCCTGTTGAAACCAGGAGACAACCTCCGGTTCTTTAAAGTGAAGCCCAAGCTTCATGTGTTAAAGCTGCATTCTCTCTAGTGTCCACCAGGGGG